AGGTGGCCCTTGTTGAATGTAGATGTAATTTAGCTGATTCTGTGTTCATCTCTAAAGAATGAAATGAGCTTGGGAAAGCTGGGTAGGCAGGAGGGTGTTGGTATGAGGAAGGAGCATTGCAAAGGACTTGGAAGACCTGGTGTTATTCCTGGTTTTGTGGCCAATGATTATTGGGTCCTGGGAAATTCCTTTATCTTTTCCAAGATAAAGGATTGTCTTGTTTGTGTAAAGGGGAGTGTTGGATTTAGTGATCTCCAGAGCTGTTTTCTTTTTCTTTCTTTCTTTTTTTTTTTTTTAAATTTTTAAATCATCTTATTGTTGTACTGGAGATGAATTGTGACATTTACAAAAGTTCTTACAATTTATCATGGTTGAATTTGCTCCCTCCATCATCTTCCTTTATCCCCCTCTCCCCTCATTCCTGGAATAGTGTTAATAGGTCTCATTTTTCCATTTTCATACATGAACACATAATATTTCCATCACATTCACCCCTCTACACCCTTTCCTTGTGTCCTTCCCCCTCTGACTGGTACAACCCCAGACAGGGCCTATTTTACCTGCCTTGTCTCTGTTTTGAAAAAAAGGCATTTTTATTTGTTTAATATTGCTATACAGGGTATTTCATTGTGACATTGCCATGAATTTAGGTATTATAATCCAAATTGGTTCATCCCTTCTATTTTTCTCCTTTTTTACCTTAGTCCCTTCTTATGGTGATTTCAACAGGTTTAAAAAATCTATAATCATTCTTGTATAGAAAGTACATCAGCCATGTCTACCTTCTTAACTTCCTTCTTTTCCATGAGCCTTATCTGGCAGCCGAGTCTGTGGCCCCTCAGAAGGAGCAGGAATGTTGGCCAAGGGCAGGTAGTGGTTATTATGGGAGCCAGTGGGGACTCAGAGCCAAAGCCAGTGTTGGCCAGTGTTGGTTCTCCTGGTCAAGAGTGACATTTAGGGTATGATGGCTCAGAGTCACTCACGCCACCTTAGGATGCTAGCCTGGTTTTGGCTTAGCACATTCGGTTTTAGTGAGTTCTTCTAAAACTTGCTTGTTTTATCAGGATTAAGTGAAGTGTTATTTGATCCCGAGACCCAACAAATAGGCATCGAACTATGGGTTCTTCTTTGCACTGTGTTCATTTCATAAAATGCTACCCACAGCAGTTTACCCTGCTGTGTTTAACTCTTTCTCTTCCTTGTCTATCATCATGTCCCTTTGGCATTTATAGAGGACACATCTCTTTTTGGCTGTGCCTTGGCTTTTAAGCTGCTCCTAGTTTTGTTGGTAAAGGCTTATACCCGCATTCTTGCTGCAGCCTGTGAAGAAAAGACAAGGATATTTTCCTTTGTCTAGTTGTCATAATTACAACATACGGTTGTTGGAAGCAAGAAAGGGCAGTTTGAAAGAAAACTCTGCCCTAGTCAGTAGAGCAGAAGTAGAAGTGGCAGATTTAGTTGTTGATGCCTTGCACTTTGGCACAGGATCTTTTGAGAGTTCCCTTTGGAGTCACACAAGGTCAGAATCAGGTATTTCCATACTCAAGTCCAGATTTCTGAGACTGGAGCTCACCAGTTCTGAGGCACCCCTCTGTGCTCATGCATTGTTAGAATGAAAGAGGCATGGAAGAGGCAGCACAGGGTTTATTGTTCAGGAAGGAGCACTGCAGATCCAGCCAAAGCCAGAAGCCCACTGCCGCTTACAGACTTGGAGTACATATAGGGAAGGGTCTGGATGGGAAATTCTGCTGGGTGGAAGATTTTCCTAGAGTAGAGTTAAGGATTGCTAGGGGAAGCTAGAGGAGATAATGGTAATTAGGTAGAGAAGTTGGTCAGCTCCAGGACCCCCTGGCAAGGTGACAGTTTGTCATTTCTTTGAGGCGAGGTGTTACCAGTAAGCTGCCTGCAAGAGAGGAGGTTCTGATCCTGACATGGCTTCTTTTTGTTCACCCTAACACTAGTGATCAAGGAGACTGTGGTAACAGCATTCCTGAGACTAGATGACTTATAAAGAGACAGGATTTATTTCTTAACAGTCTGGAAGCTGAGAAGTCCAAGGTGGAGGGACAGGCATCCTGTGAGAGCTTTTTTGCTTGAGTCTCCCAAAAGAAAAGAGAGAGGACTGAATTCCATTTTTCTTTTCTTCTCTTTCTTTTTTTGGCAGTAGGGCCTCATGCTTATTAGGCAAGTGCTCTGCCATTTTAGCCATGTCCCCAGCCCTTTTGTTTGTTTGTTTGTTCTTAGTTTAATTTTCAAGATAGGGTCTCATGAACTTTTCCTGAGCTGGCTTTCGAACCATGATTCTCCTATCTCTGCCTCCTGAGTAGCTAACATTACAGGCATGCACCACCATGCATAGCTGAACTCTACTTTATAACAAACTCATACTCTGTCTCTCTTTTTTTGTGTACTGGAGTTTGAACTCAGAGCCTACACCTTGAGCAACTCCACCAGTCCTTTTCTGTGCTGTTTTTTTTTTTTCAAGATAGGGTCTCATGAACTATTTGCCAGGTCTGGCTTTGAACCATGATCCTCCTGATCTCTGCCTCCTGAGTAGCTAGGATTATAGGTGTGAGCCACTGGTGCCCAGTAACAAACCCACTCTCTTGATAATGAACTCTCTCCCACAATAATGACATGAATCCATTCATTAGGGTAGAGCCTTCTTCACCTCATGGCCTAATAGCCTCTTAAAGGACCCACCTTTCGACACTATAGCCCTTAGATGAAGTTTTCAATAACTACTTTTTAGGCTATGCATTCAAGCCATAGCAGCTACTGTCTGCTGACCCCTGAGACACTGTGTAGGCCTGTAAGGCTGCTTCCCAGGAAGGAGAGGCCATGGTGGTAACATTCTGATGACAGCAAGTCTGAGCCCAAAGATGATAGAGGACAGTAACTACAAGAGCATCCCTTCAGGAGCAGTGCCTCGCCAGTGTTGAGACTATCTCTGATGTGCTAGTGTGCTTCAGAGTTGAAAAGGTTTTTAGAATTAACCTCCCAAGCACGTCATTTCACACAGGAGAAGCGGGCTTCAGCTTAGTTAAGTAACTTGTCCAAGATCACATGGGAAAGGCACAGCCCCGTCTTAGAGCTTCTGTTTCTCTCTTACTTATTGGTCTCATTTTTTTTTTCTTTTTGGTGATACTGGGGTTTGAATTCAGGTCTGTGCACTTTTGCTAGGCAGACGCCCTACTGCTTGAGCCGTGCCTGCAGCCCTCAGTCCCATATCTTTAGGGAAGCATTTCTGCACTTCCATCTTTAAGCCTCTCCCCAAGCCTTAGTGCATATCATAATTCTTACTCACTGTATTGCTAGCGTTGCTATGGGATGAGACTTATCTTTTCTTCTTTATTTCAAATACAGGATTTGGAGAAAAGTAGTATCTCAAGGAGAAGTGACTTTGGTAAGTAGTGATTTTTTTTTTTAACCTAAGAGTATGTACTCAGGTCTATTTGTTGTAAATTATATTTCAGCACAGTGGAATTTTCTTTCTAATTTTATTTATGGGATGAGTTTTGTTTCCCAAATACTCTGACTTTGGGCCAATCCAATGTATCATCATGAAGACCTGGGCATGGGATACTTGTTAGAAGTAACAGTTAATATGTTGGATCTAATTTCATCAGCTGTTTTTCACTGAACCATGCCAGGCAGGTGCTGTGGGATTGCAGAGATGGATATGACACAGTCCTTGTTATTAGGGCTTGTATTAGTTTACTTTCTGTTGCTGTGACAAAATTCTTGGGGTTAGGTACTTAAAAAGAAAAGAAGCTTATTTAGTTTACAGTTCTAGAGGATGAAAATCCAAGATCAAGAGGTCCTATCTGTTCTTCCTCTGGTGAGGGCCTCCTTTCCTTTGTCATGGTGGATAGCATCATAGTAGGACATGTGTAAGAAGGACAGATCACACAGTAAGACAGGAAGAAAGAGAAATTCAGGGCTCAGGCTCTCTCTTATATAATAACTTACCCTTGTAGAAAGTAACTGGAGTCTCATGAGAACTACATTAATCTCTTCTGTGGGCAGCACTCCCAGTAGTGACTCATCACCCTATAGGCCCCCTCCCCTCTTAAAAGTCCCACCACCTCTCAACACTGCCACACTGGGACCTTTGGGAGACCTACTCAGGCATCTCTAAGTCACACCAGAGACTACCCTTAGTGGGAGAAAAGGACAAACTGTGGCCTTTGCTGGTGCTGTGCTCTGCCTAGAGCCTGGCTTCTGCTTGTTGACTGTAGGTACCTGCCCGCTCTTCAGGAGTCAGCTCAGCAGTCACACCCCACACCCATCCAGCTTGTCCCAGGGATCTTAGCACAGAAGCTGCGCCTCCTCCTTTGTAGCACACAATTCTGTGCAACAGCCCACCCACACCTTTGTTTCTTCTCCTTGTTAACCATATCTCCCCCACCCCAGCCACATCTTCAGGGATGTGACTGTGAATTCTTTTTTCAGTGTCATTGGAAAGATTACCCTGTGTGTCAGTGGAGGGTAAGGCTGAAGCTCTGAGTGTCAGGCAAGTCTCCCCCATGATTGTGAGCTTGTCAGGGCCTTCATCCCAGGGTGGACTATGGAGACCTGGATAGTGAGTTTTGGATAAAGGAAGCAGGAACGTGTTCCTTTCCAGGCCTTTCCTTCCTGAGCCTGGATTCAGTGCACTGCAGATGTCCAGGAGAGTCCTCCCACCCCCATGGAAGGGGAGGTGACCTGTTCTGGGAGGTGCATCTGGGGCCACAGGGGCCTGTGAGGGAAAGGGTTAGCTGTTCTGAGAGCAGCTATACTCTAGGGGCCATGTCCATTCATCGTGCATTGCCTTTTCCTGTTACAACATCTGGTATGACTCAGCCTCTCCTCTCCATGAGCAGATTTTCTCTGCTGTGAACCTTAGTGGTTTGGGGCACTTGTTTGTATGTTAATTTTATGGGAGCTGATGGGTTTCCTCATACCACATGGTTATTAAATGAATTAATGACCCGAGTCTGAAACACATGCTTGAGTCTACCCAGAGGAAGTTACCTTGGATGAGGAAATTTTTTTCTTGCAAATGGCAAGTCTTGGTGATGCCTAACTTAGGATCAGTTCATCTGAAAAAGAACCCAGAAGCTTCTTTGTCTTAAATCGTCACATGGGCCTTCCAGAGCTAGGCAACTAATAAAGAGCCAACCCAGTCAGAGTCACCATGTCACCGATAGGATCAGAGTGCTGCAACCGTGCGCTCCTGGGGCTCGGGGCTGGGCCACAGCCTCCACATATGGGTCTGGCTCTCTTTTTTTTCTCTTTCAGCTCACCTCACTGCCTAATTGATAGAATCACTAGTGTACAATTACTTTCTCCAGGGAGGACGGAATTGGAGAGCTCTTCCTGTGCTGTGTGTCTGTGTGCACATTTACCACTCAGCTTTAGATTAGAAGGCTGTTTGTTCTCCACCTTTTATCAGAAAGACCCGTATTGATTTCTCATCAGCAGCATGGCAGAGTCTTTCTCCTTGGTCACTTCTGATCAGGAGGTCAGCATTTCTTGGAGTGTTTGGCCTCAGTGGTACTCAGCAACCAAGGATATGGGAGCCTTTGATTTCTTTTACCTTCAAAGAGGAATAGTTTCTCTTCCAGGTATCCTTTCCTGACTTTCCTCTCAGTTCTGCTGCTTTCCTGAATATTCTCTGCAGACAAATATTGGCTTCAGCACCACATCCACATCGGTCCTTTCTGTTCTGTCAACTCGAGTGTTATTGTCAGGCATTTAGTGTGTGACCCATTTATTGCACATTCCTGGAATAGAAACAATCTACCTGAGTTGCGGCAATGTTGGCTGAAAGCAGGTTCATTGAGTGTAGACCAGTGCAGCCATGATGGGAAAGAAGTAGCCGAGCAGTGCTATTGAGGCCCGTCTTCTGTAGGCCTGAGCATCAGGTGGCGGGTGTCATTAGCAGAGACAGTGGAGCCACAAGAGTCTCAGGGCCGTGGTGGCGGCCAGCATGTGATTCCTGTGAGAGAGGCTTAGGTCATATGGCAGAAAGCATTTCTTGTTTCCGATGTGAAGAGCTGCGGGAATTTAAGCATGTAGGCTGCTTCCAGCACCAACTGTACTAACTAATCTGGTTCTTTTCTGGAGTGGGATGGGGCCGAGGAGCATGTCAGTCATCTGTCATCCATTGTTAACAGGAGTCCCCTTCCCCTCAGTCTTGTTCCTGATAGTTCCTGTATCCATCCTGTTCCTTAGCCAGTCCCGAAATTAGGGCTTTTAGCTAGGGCTCTAAGTTTGACTCTTTGTCTCACACCTTCACTAGACCTTCTACAGGGGAGGTGTTTCCACTCTTTTTTATTCCTGTCCCCAGGACACAGTGTCCATGTGACCTTCTTTGAGATGGCTCTGCTGCCTCACTTGGCTCTCCTGAGGCCTTCCTCAGATTGAAAGCAATTAATCTGCAGTCCAAGCCTTAGCATGATGTACAACTCCTTCAGGATCTGATTGGGCTGAGTCTGCATCCTTCTCTAATTTTATCAGCCACTTGTCCCCCTTGGTCTCTCAGAATGGCCACCACACTCCCTGGAGGTGCTCTCAGGGATGCTGCAGAGATAAGGCAGCTGCAGGCACTGTGATAACCCTAATTCTTCCTCAGTCACTGATCTGTTGCCCTCTGTGTGTCTGCAGAAAACTGCGGCTCTTTAAGGCAAATGTGGAAATCTCTTCTCCCAGAGGCTGTCCTTGACCTGGTACCCCTGCATTCTGTGCTCCTGTGATACCCCATGCTTGGCTCTGGCTTTCTACCTCCTGCTCTGGTTGCCATGGCCTGGCTTCTGAACTAGTCTGTGACCATGCCCGTTCATCTTTGTATTCCAGAACCTGGCACTTAATAGGTACTAGGAAGTATTTGCTAAACATATGTGATAGCATGCAAGATTGCAGTCCATGAAAAGGGAAGGGGCTGGCATGATCTCTCAGTGGCTTTGTCAAAAAGCAAAGGATGAATACGACTCACAGACGTGACTCAGATGTATGAAAAGAGGAAGAATTTGCTTTTATACTTGCAAAGCTTCTTCTCTGTGTGGAGGAACTGTTTTATTTCTGAGAACAGTGGGGGCTTTGCTGAGCTGGTAGAAATGGCAGGAGTTGGTTACTGTGCTGAGCGTAGGATGAACCTTTTGACAGAAGGATCTGCTCTTTTAAAGAATTTATTATGATATAATTTGAACATATGAAAAGTTACAAAGAGTAATATAATAAATATCCATCTAGATAAGAATCAAATCATTACTAACACAGCTGAAACCCTTTAACCATTATCCTCATTTGATATTTAACATTATCACGTAAAATCTTTTATCCTTTTATGTGGTGTATATGCATATATAATATATATCCAGCTTATGTGTATTTCTGCTTATGTGTCTGCAAACTATTGACTTGTGTAGTTTTTTTTAACTACGTGGTTTTAATTCTAGCATTATGTCTATGGGCAGCTTCTACATTCATCTATGGAATACTAGCTAATTTTTACATGTAATTAATTGGCACATGCTAATAATTTTTATTGCTGTATAGTATGTATTCTGATTCTTATATCTTACTGGTGGATATTTGGGTTACTTCCATTTTTCCCTTTTACACAATGCCACTGTGACTTTTGTTATCCTTGTACACACATGAGTGGTTTTCAAGGGTGATTAACAGGTATGGAATTTGTGGGTCACTGGGAGTGTGCGTCTTCAACTTTACTAAATGAAAAAAAATTATCCCCTGAAGGCTATTTGCTCCATTCTTAACAAAAAGAAATCTTTATAACTCCTCTTTTGATATGTCAGTTTATATTAATATTTCAGATGTTATCTTCAGATCAAAAATAACATTTCCCTTGAAACCTAAAATACTCCTTTAAGCCTTATCCATAGCTCGATGTGTAGAGCCAAGAAGCCTATTTAAAATGCAGGTATATACACGGGGTGTTCTCATTTATATAGACTCTGAAGAAAAGGAATTGGGTCATATTCAGTGGGTTGCTCAGCAATTCCTTTGAAATTTCTTTATTAAGCCTTAATATTTCAGATTATTTTTAGAATCTAGGTGGCTCGCTGTGGAGCTATCTATATATGAATATCTGAGTGAGTCAGTAAATGAATGAAATTACAGAACCAAACATAAAAACAATACAATAAAACAGTTACAATCAAGTTAGCGTCCCCGAGCTGATGTGTTCAAGAGAAGGGTTTGTAGTAAGTAATATTGATCTCCTATAAACCTGGCTGGAGGCCACAACTATCATGACATCTACTCTCTGCCCTGGCCACATCCTGTCTGGTGGAAGGGTGCTGCCACCGTAGCTGTTTCTATCTGTTACACTATCAGAACCTGGAGAAGCCTGTTGTGCTTCTGTGATGCGTGACCTGAGGAAAACCTCTGTTGGCAAAACCTCTGGAGGTCTTTCCCAGCCAGATGGCCATGACATACTAGTGTTTCTTTCCTGCTTGTCATTGTAGGAGGGTCCTAGTGTCCCAGCATGTACTGCTGGGTGTTGTTACAGATAGGCTGTTATGTAGCACCTCTGGCTGGTACCCTGCTGCTGTGGAATTATTGCATCTGGTTTCCTGGAGTTAACACCTAATCCTGGCTAGGTTTCTTCTGAGGAAGGGTAGGGATTACTGAGTTACTTATTTTCAAATCCTTGGAAACTCATGGGAAATATGCAGTCTCAGTTAAGTGTTACTGTAAGGGACCATCTGGAATATTCTTGACACAGCATATTAGTTTGATAGGGCTGTTTTCCCAAAGGTCTATGTTTTAAATGCTTGGTTCTGCGGTGCTGTTGTGATGTGGTGGAACCTTTAAGAGGTGGGGCTCAGTGAAAAGGAGTTAGGTCATCCAGGATACCCTTGGAGGTATATTGGGACCTTGACCGCTTGCTGTCTCTTTTTGTTCCCCAGCCACTATGATACATTGCCTTGCTACAGGTCCAAAGCAGCAGGGCCATGGACTGAAACCTCCAAAATTGTGAGCCAAAAGAAACCTTTCCTGATTACAAGTTGATTCGCTCAGATATTTTTCCATAGAAACAGAAAGCCCGCACAGGCTGCATAACAAAATCTGCAAACAGTGGCTTAATTAACAGAAACTTATTCCATGGTTCTTTACTTGGTCTTAGCCAAAAAGCCAAGAAGTGATGTCTCACAGTTCTGGAGGCTAGAAGTCCCAAATTAAAATGTCAGGAGGGTTGGTTCCTTCGGAGGGAGGAGCTCTGTTTCAGGCCTCTCTCCTTGGTCTGTAATACTCATCTTCTCCATGTGTTTTCATATCACCTTCCTTCTGTCCCCAGTTTTTCCCCTTGTGTAAGGCATTGGTCATATTGGATTAGGCCCCACTGTAATGACGTCATTTTAACTTAATTATATCTGTCAAGGCTGAACTTCAGGTAAAACCACATTCCCAAGTACTGATGGTTAGAACTTCAATATATGCATTTGAGGGGATACATTTCACCCCATAACAGGTGGCAGCACAGTGTAGGATTCTGTGGGAACTGCTAGAACTCTGCTTGTAAACATCGGCTTTCCGACCCTAGGGAGGCTGGTGTCCTAGCTGCTTTCCTGCTTTTGCTTGCACATTGTTTTTGACAGATGCAGGAGCACATTCACAGTTTGTCATCACAGACTTGGTCTAGAACAGGGAGCTTATTTACTTGCTGACTTCTAGGAAGGAGTTTCAGAAATCAGTTTAAAGAGAGAAAGAGTTTGTCTCTAGCATTGCATATATATTATTGCCTGAAGGCTTGCCTTGTAGCTGTTGGGTTTTTCACTTACGTTCAAGTTTATTTCAATCATTGTTTAAAAAAAAAAAAAGAAATACCTGAGAACTTCTTTTTTTCTTTTGGTTTTAGACTTAAAAGAAATTGTGTTTGTCATCCAGAGCCAGAGCAATTCTTTTCATGTAAAGAGAGCAGAGCAGTTGAAAAAAAGCATCTTAAAGCAGGCTGCAAATCTTACACAGGTATGTAGAGCTGGCTGTGTGTCTGCTAGTTATGCATTTCTTAATACATTCTGTTTTCCAAAGTACTGAGTCTGTAGAAAGTCAATTCATTTGCTTACTTAATATTGACTGCTTTGTTGTCAAAAATTCTTTATTTTCTGCTGATTAAAACATCATACACTAAATCGTCGTATGTATATTGGGGTATATGTTTATAATTTAAGAAAATTATGTAATTGTATAGGACTACCATGGTTTTGTCATAAAATCTAATTAAAAAGAAATGGAAGAGCCAGGTATGGTGGTGCACACCACTTGGGACACTGAGGCAGGAAGATTGTGAGTTCGAGGCCAGCACGGGCTACATAGTGAGACCCAGTCTCAAAAATTGAAAACAAAAACAAAAGCAAAAAAAAGAAGTGGCAAAAGACCAGGTTTAATGGCTCGTCCTGCAATCCCTGCACTTGGGAGGCAGAGGCAGGAGAATCATGAATCCAAGGCCAGCCCGGGCAGGAGAATCATGAGTTCAAGTGAAAGAAACAACTTTTTAAAGATAGGGCTTAAAATAGTTTAAATTTTTGGTAACAAGTTCTAGGACAATTTTCATGTTGAAATAACATTTTCATTGATCTTACTGCTGTGCTTCCTCTATGAGTCTCTTTAATCTGTTTTTTAATTAGATGTCATTAATTGAACTTTTGATTTGATTTATAGTGTAATATCCTAGAAGGATTATAGAGAGAAAAATCTATGCATACAGGTACATTTTAATGACATTTAAAATAGGCACGAACTGGATCTAAACTTTCTCTGAATAATGCTGTAGGTTTGAGGAGGAGGAAGATTTACTTTGTTTTTTTAGACAGGCTCTTGTTATGTACTCAAGATCTCCTGCCTCTACCTTCCAAGTGTTGGAAGTATAGGTGTGGGTCACCATAGCTGACAGGATCTACTTTCTTGTTTAGTGTCCCCTTTATTTGTAGGAGATGTGTTCCAGTGGCTATCTGAAACTGCAGATAGGATTGTATTTTATCTGCTATGTTTCACCTATACATTCATACCTAAGACAAAGTTTAATTTATAAATTAGGCACAGTAAGAGATTAACAACGACTAATGATAAAATATAATAATACAATTACCAGTACTACTTCTGTGGTGCTTTGGACCAGTAAAGTGAAAGTAAAGTGAGGGTTACTTGAATACACAAGCACTGTAGTGCCACAACAGTCAATCCAATAATAAATGGATGAGTAACAGGTACAGCAAGAAAACACTGGATGAAGGAGTGGTTCATGTCCTGGGTAGGACAGAATGAGACAACATCGTACTGTTCAGAATGATGCTTAAGTTAAAACTTATGAGTTGTTTACTTATGGAATATTCCATTTAATATTTTCAAATTGCAGTTGACCTTGGACAACTGAGGCCATAGATAGGGGGACTGACATCCTGTCCTGTTGCACTAACTTCTTCAGCCAAGTAAATAAACTTCATGACCTCCACTAGGTTGCTGTGACCTTCAAGACAGAGTACTTGTCTTTAGATCTCTTAGGAAAGAGATCAGTCCTCAGATCTCTTAGGAAAGAACTTTTTGACAAGAGAAATGTGTTTTTGTCAGTTTGCTTTCTTTCTATTAGTGGGGGCTAGAAAATAAAGGGTTAGAAATCTCAATGAAATTAACAGCCTTGACAATACTTGAGGCTAAGACTTTGCTGAGAATAAAGTTTATTGTATTTCATCTTTAAATATAAACTTTAGTAAACCTCCCTGCAAGGAAAGTTCTCTAGGTCTCCACATTTGGAACATCATACTTTCTCAAGGGAGAGGAAAAAATAAAATGCTATTGACATTATTTTTGGAAATCAGAGATTGGAGCAATACAAGAGGTTTCAAGTTTGTCTGTCTGGAAACCTAACTTTTAGAGATTTTCTTCTACTGAATCTTTCTGGGTATCATCAGAGAGGCAGACATACAGCAGCCTTGGCTGGCTAGCTTCTCTGCTTCATTACAGGTGTTAGTTAAATGACCAAATGCAGGTGCTAGTCAGGTGGCCAAATGCAGGGAGCTGCAGGAGAAGTACCAGTAGACTTAATGATCTGTCAGTTGTGTCCAGGCAAACATAAACTGGATTTAGCTACACTGGACCTTGGAAATTATCCCAATTTTCATGTAATTAGCAATGGCACACAGTTGGGCATCATTTATTCATATAGGGGTTAAGAGCATGTTCTTTCTTCTGTATCTGCCTGTGGCCTGCTCTCAGAAGTACATTCCATCTTGCAGAGGCAGCTTTATGTGTTCAGATTATGTGTCTTCCTCATTTTAGCCATGCTAATTGTTCCTGCCATTTATTTAGAATAACAACATCCTTTGTTAATCAAGCCTAGTTGGTTGAATTTACATTCATACCCGATCTCTACTTCTGCTCTCTTTTGTTCTCCTCTTCTCTTTTCTCTCTTCTTTTGTCTCCTGTTCTCTTTTTTCTCCTCTCTGCTGCCCCCTCTCTCTTTTTTCTTTTCTTCTCTCTCTCTCTCTCTCTCTTTTTTTTTTTTTTGTGCAAATGAATACTGATCATTGGCTCTCCACTACCTTTTCCTCCTTCACTCTTCTGGAAGAGTGGTTTCCAGGGTGCCTTGAAGTAAGGCAATATTCCTGGGACTTGGTTCACTATGAGGATGAGGCATGTTGGGTACCTTTTGGTGAGAAATAGTATAAATTATGGAATGTTCTTTCTTTTCTTCATCTAGGGAAAAGAAATTTACTTGAGAGGGTACTACTAGGGGCTGACTGTGCCTGTTTCTGGGGCCCTGCAAAGGGAGCCAGATCCAAGATCACGGGATGCTTAAAATTGACCCAAGACTCTGAGGAGAGTGGTTACAGGCCGCTGTCAAAGCTGAATCTAGCAATTGTATTAGGAATGGAGCATGTGTGTTGGTTGGAGCCTCTTCTTTGTGTCTCCCAGTAGTTTGTTTTGTTTGGTTTTTGTTTGGTGCTAGTGATTGAACCCAGAGCCTTATTGAGTGATAACCACATGCTCTGCCACTGAGTTTCACTCCAAGCCCCTTCCAGGAGCTCTGAGGCAAGATGGCCGGCCTCTGAGAGGGCATGGACCAAGCACAGCAGTGGAAACCTCCAGTGCTTCTTCCCTTTGGCTGAGACAGTTCTAGCAGAGCTCATTAACTGCCATTCCTATCTCTGGATCTGAGCTTCATCTCCTACCACTCATTCATTTAAACTTCATTTCCCAGTAATATCAGATTCCTGGGGTTCCATGATCACCTCATATGTCTCTGTGGCTTTGCATGTGTGGACCTGTCTTCTTGTCCAGCCTCTTTGTCCCCAGGAAACCTTTCCATGCACGTTCTTGACTCAAAGTTGTAAATCACTTCCTCTTTAGTCCTACCTTTGTATCTGTACAAACTTCTGTTGTATACTTTTCACTTTGTATTATTACTTGTTACCTATTTGTCTTTCTCTTCTACAAACTTGGAGAGCAGAGAACAGAAGTATCTTACTAGTTTTTGATTGCTCAGAATGAAGCAGTGTTTGTGTGTACTTAGCCTGAGTCTTTAGTGAATGTTAATTGAGTTGAATCTCTGAAATTCATTCTCTCCTTTCTTGAATTTACTTTGTTTTTCTATTATAATAGAAGTTTCTTTTCGTTTCTTTTACATGCAGCGTGGACACCTTTGTCCACACACACGTATGTAGGCATGTGTACACACACAAACACACACACACAGAGTTTATCATAAGCGCTCTGAAGGCAGACACGTCTTTTGATCCTTGCACAGCACCTTAGACATAGAAGTACTCAACATAGGCAGTTGGATCCAAGACATTTAACAAATTAAAATGAAAATTTAAGTGGATTATTTTATCTGTTTTTGTTAATTCTTAAAAAATAGGGTAATGGCAAGTCTCAACCCTATTAAATGTAACAGCTATCTACTTCGCTCAGAAACATCAGTTTAGAGAAAATAATAGAAAAAAATTGAGTATGTGTTGACCCTAAGAAAATAAATCATGATTAGATGAATCTTTGAGAGAGAATATGGAAAAGAACTAAATAATTCCTTAACACAGACAATGTAACAATGTCTTCAGGAGGGTGGAACATTTACTGCCTTTCACAAAATAGCCCAGTTGGTGAGTGGGCATCCTTACATAAGGATGCGACCTTGAACTTACATATGTCATGCCATCTTATGTACCCTTTGTCTACAACAATGACATGGATGTACCTGGGTTAGAAACATAATGTCTAGCTGGGCAGCCTTGGGTCTAGCCAGAACTGAAGGGGTTCTAATCACTAAAAGGAAGTTCCATCCATCTAGGATGGACTCTGGGGGAAACTGATTTCTCTGCTAAAGTTGGGATTTTGTTTGCACATCAAGCACTCACATAATCTGTAGAAGAATTTATGAGCCTCTCATTCATTCATTCATTCATGTGACATTTACAGGCTTACCATGGGCAAAATAGTGGCCATATAAAGATCATCAAGTGAGCCTGGGGGTGGAGGCAGGCCTGTTCATGGGCATATGGAAGTCAGGTGTAGTGCAGTGATGGAAAGACAGGAAGCATAAGGCCGAGGAGGGATATGGTGCTCAAGGAGGGAGTTCTGATAGCTGAGTCCTGTGTAGGCACTCACTAGTAGCCTGAGGACAGGTAGGAGGGAGGATGTCCTAGGTAGAGAGGCCAGCAGGTAATGGCAGCCAGGTGAGAGGCAGGAGTGCAGTGTGTGGGTTGGGAGGATGTTAGGAAGGCAGGCAGCCTGGGAACGTAGGCGGGGGTGTGGTCATAGAGGCACTGTATGTCTTCTGGGACTGTATGTCTTCAGACCTTTCTTGGGACTTCTCAGGGGGCATTGCTGGCACTTTGAGGGCTTTATCACCCCCTAGGTACATGTAATTGTGACCCCTAGTCTTCAAGACTGGGCAGGGCCTCATTCCAGGCTTGGCGGTGTAGTCTGTGGCAGGGCTACTCAGGTGGGTTGCAGATTGAGCTGGGCCTTCC